AATACATTGACTAAATATCTATAGCCGTTTCACGCCTACATTATATTTCATGTTGAGCTAACAGTCCTAGCAGTATTCTTTTTCATGTTGAATATTATAAGCGTTTTGATCCAGATTTAAATCCTCTGTAAATATATATCGTTTAAAATAGCTAATTATTTCACTAAATTCATAAAAATTGCACTAAATCTTATATCGCCTTCCCTAGGAAAGAAAGGAGTTTCAGTAAATCTGGAAACAGAAGAGTTATTATAGTTAGATTCTCGGATATGCTGTATGTTGTTGCGGAAATTCAGTTTTTGGTATCGATATATAAATGTTTTGGTATTGATAAAAAAAAAATCAGTAGTACAATTTTCGGTGATGCAAAACTGTGGTGAAGAAAAGTGTTGATATTTTATAAACAGTCTTTATTAATATTAATATATATTGTCAAACCTCCCGAACTCAATGGGACCGAGAAAAAAACTTCTGAGATATCCAAGGATTCGAGATATCGAGGCCTACATAGTGAAAGAATAAGCGGTTGGGACTTCCAACTTATTTTGACATATCCATGGTATTCGAGATATCCGTGTTCAAGATACCGAAGTTTAACTGTACATCAAATAAAATAACGTGTATACAGATAAAGTAAAAATACATGATAAAATATTCGTGAAATCGAAAGAAATATCATTGTACTTAAGATATATTATTAGTTTTAGAGGATATTATTCAAAGATATCAATATGTAATGACGGGAAAATTTTTATCTGTAGCATAGACTTTTAATTAATCATCTAATAATGTAGATATTTTGGGAAAAGAATTTCAGTGCCATTATTGAACGAACGAACTAAAGAATTTCAAACTTTTACCTAGAATATATTTTTTAATGAAATTTTTATAACATAAATAAATAAATAAGATTATAAAAGATAAAGTTCTAGAGTATACCTAAGAAGGCATGTGTCGCCTGCTCTCGAATCATTAAAGAGATAAAAACTCTGACATAAGGACAAAAATAACGCAAAATTAAAGCTTAAGAACTGCATTTCCTTCAAGAGTGTGCTTATTTTTATTTACAAATGAAATATGTAGAGATAACGAACAGAATTCGAGCACAAAAGTCCATTAAACAATACAAAATAGGAGCAGAGCAAACACGGACCTCCAAACATCAGAGGTGGGATCAGGTGCCATGGAGGAATGAGCATCCCCTGCAGACCGGTCACATCCTCCGTGTTCTCCTTGTCATGATCGGGAAATAACGGGAAAATCCGTCGACAATTCAGTGTGTAAATAATGGCCTAACAATTGATATGAAAAAAGTCAGTCAGCGTTTGAATTAATGATTGTATTTGCTGACAAGGTCATTGTATCGACTATAGAACTTACGAAATGATGACTTTAAACGAGATTGCTGATAGTCTTGTTTTATCAACTTGTTTGTCAATAACTTACCTCGTTTTAGAAATTGTTCATACGTAGAGCATGCTCTGGCGTATCGAATCAACTGAGAGATATAAACCCCGTATGCAGGTGATAAGGGTATATTGCTGCATAAGAAAGGAAGTTGACGATCGAAAAGTTAAAGTCATCACGTTTATCATAAAGCTTGGTTGTTAGATTAGCATTAACTTCTTCTTCTTTTTTTTTTTTTTTTTTTTTTATAAAATATCCAAATATGAAACAGATGTGTCAGATCTGTGGAATCTTTTATCTCAAGCTCACCGGGATATATCGTGTCGACATAAGAATGGAAATAACCATTGTTAATTGACAATACGTCGTCAAATTATCTAAATGTCGAGTTGAAGACCACAGCAGGTGTTGACCGTAAAAATGGACTTTTTAGCGAGACTCAAATTTAGCGCTTTGTCCTAAAAACTAGGATTTAATTTTAGCGAGAAATAACATAAGCGATTTTATAATGTCTAAAAAGATAATGGTAACCTCCGAGGTAGAATAAATGGTTAGCGTATTCAGTTTTGGCGATCTCAGCATCTTTGATTAAAATGCCAAATTATCCCCGCTTAAATTTCTGCTTATACGGTAGTTTATGCGAATAAAAAAAAATCCATGGATAGAGGTATCAAAGATGTAATAATCAACGAGAAATACGATTCCTCAAGCCTCAAAAATTAAAATGAATTGTTATTTTAAAATTATTGAAAATAATTTTTTATTCATGCATTCATATGTGTCATTCTTGAAAGAGTTTACTGCAATAATGTCATCCCTCGACTTTGTTTGAGTTACAAACTCATGTCGGTATAGCGATCCAAAATGATTTTTCATGCAATTCAACTAAAGAGTTGCTTGTGTGGTAAACATACACAATTGGAATAAAAACGAATAATGATGTCATGTAATACATGTATATTTGCTAGTTACATGTAACAAAGTCAGCTCTTCAAAATTCAAAATGCAAAGATCTATTGCAAGAGATTTGAAAATCATTTTAAAAAAATATATAGTGACTATATGTTGTTGTTTTTTTTTTAAATAATTCACAGTAAAGATTTCCAAAAGAAACCTAATTCATAAATTTAAAAATGCACATAATATCAGCATACTTTGGAGGGCAAACATTGACAGAAATTACATGTTAAATTGACAATTTTATAAAGGAATGATAATAAGTTATCCTAGGAAGAGTTGTTTCTCTTATTCGATCAATGAACCTTGAAGTGCTTCTGTTGTTTTATTTTGTTTATCTGCATGTCCATGTAGATCAAACCATCCCTCTCTATTTCTCTGTATGATTACTTTATTGTCAAATAATTAGCGAGAAAGTACATGCCATTTTCAGTTATTCTCCACATTCATTTCTTAGTAAATGGTGATAATTAACACTATATCTAATTGTTAGGATATTACTTTTTTTCTCTAAAAACTGTTTTAAGAGATTAGGTTTATGAAATCGAAGCCCCTTGTACAAAAGAACGTACGACTAAGACCAACAAATTTAACTGTTTATTACATCTTGCCTACCTAATATTTAAAAAATTGTTCTCAAAAATATATTTTGCAATTCTTTAAAAAAAAGATACATTATAACTCCTTTCAAAATCAATGTAAAGAAGGAAAGAATATTTTATGTTACTCGAAAGCTATATTGTAACACGGGGCTCTGATCATTAATACTTTCAGATAGTCAAATAAAAGAAGAAAATACTAAACCAGGAGTCATTGTTTTATTATTACACGTGTTTTATCATTACACGTGTAAATGTGAGGCGTATGTTAATGTTACTTGGACCAACTTACAATCATTAAAGTATTGTCGTTTTGATTTTGTTTTTTTGTTCCATATGTGTTCTCGATGTTTTTTTTTTTTTTTTTTTTTTTTTTTTTTTTATAAATTAATATTTGTATAAGTATCTTTTGGCATAAATTTCTACATTTTGCCAATATTCTGTGAATTTTTGTGTCTTAGTTATTTTTCTGGGGAAGTGCGTTTATACATATAAATGATTTGCAAAATGATTCTTTATTCCATTCTTAAGAGATAAATCCCAAATAATTAAGCAAATAATCCCAAGTGATCAAAAATGACAAATACCAAGACTCACTTCTGCTCAGCAATTTCAGCTCAGCAGGTTAAAAGGTGAAAGTACTCAGTTTGGCACCACGACTGCTCACATTGAGCTCAGTGTTGTTCAGTGAGGTTGGTTCTGCTCGTTGGACTCACTTCCATGGCTGGTCACACTGAGCTCAGTTTTGTTCAGTGAGGCTGGCTCTTTTCTGCTCACATTGAGTGTCTGTTCACTAACAATAAGCCTTCATCATTTAATGTAAGGTGTTCAGATAACGATTTGTAGCTTCAGAGTACAGAAAGACATATTCATCACGTCTAATACTCTGAGCACCGATCAACTCGTGTTTCTTCTGTCTTAATCAGTTTTGCAATACTTCTGTAAGCTTTTTGATAAACTGTATAACCCCCACATCTTTATAAATCTTAACAATAATTTACACTAAACACTGATGGGTGAAATAACTGAATGTTGATTCGTTATTATGACAATATAAATTTTGATATGATTTTGCTGTTATTAAACGCAACACATGATTAGTTTATAACCTATGACGTGAACGCCAATTAATATTTTAAGCAAGATAAAGATACCATAAAGTTAAGTTTTTTATTCGTTTTTATTCCTGTTGCAAGAACATTGGAATTATTGTAGTCGTGGGGGACCAATGTTCATGGGTTTTGTGGGTCACCCTTAACCAGGATTTTACATCCCGGAATGATGATTTTGTCAATATATTGGTTCATTGGGTCTTCTCTATATACTCCATAACCACGAATTACGGTATCACGTGTCAGTAAAGTTTTGATTTCCTAATAATGTTCACCCCCACAAATTAAAAAAAAAAGTACGGTTCTCTCTTGTCTTTTTCAATTGTACCATGTTTTGCACAAACAGAAGTATACATCGAAGAAAGGGACGTACAAGGCGAAGACAATCCCCCGCTCTGGGACAAAATCTTTCTCAATTTTCAAAGCTCACGAAAAGTTATATTTTCTAAAATAATGTTTTCCATTTTTCCGTAATGTCTTCTTCAACACATTTGAATCAGTTATTTTATTGAATGACTTTTTTTTATTGATAATTTGTTTTTAAAGATGACAGTAAAGTATATTTAGTAGAAAATTGGTTTATTAGAGAGAATAAAAAATGATTTTTGAATATGAATGGGTCAAGTTGTCATTCTTCATAAACGTTTATATGACGGAAAAGTTTATGTAAAATTTATTTCATGTTTTAAAAAAAATGGAGTCTGAACCCATTCTATATGAAAATCGAACATTTCTGAAAAAACCTACTCTCTTCTCCTCAACTCATTTAAATCTCACTGACATCAAACATAAAAAGCAGACTTCGTATCGTATTAGCTAATGTGTTCAGTCTTACGCCTAATCGTGAGCTTTGGAAAGAGTTCGAATCATGCATGAAGCTTTTTTTTCTATTTCACATACCTTGAAAACATTAGTGAAAAATAAATTATTTGTCAATAATTTATTAAACAATATATAGGAAACAAATGTGCAAAAGATTATATTGACAATGTAATTTTTGAAAAATATAACTTTTCAGGAACTTTTAGAATTGAAAAATGCTTTGCACGCCTTCATTTTCAGGAAGATCAAAGTTTCATAAACTTATTGGGCAGAATTTTTTTCCTGTAGTCGTTTTCGGACATAGATTTCTATGAGGAGTATAGCCGAGCCTAAAAATCCACAAGCAGACGACATTCTGAAAGCATTCTTCCACGAACCAGAACTATCCTTAATTGCACCTAAGAAAGACATAAACAATATAAGTATTTCATACAACATTAAGCAAGACAAGATTTATAAAAGACTTTTCTGCAATGTGAAAATTCTAGTTTTATATTATTAAAACGTTTATTATTTATTTCATAACAAATGAATATAGAATCATGTATAGATCAACATGAATACATGTATATGTTTCAAAAGATCAGTTATTTCCTAAATAAACTTTTTTATGACCATAACACAGTATTTTGTTTTTAAATACCTGAGAGAGCGGGATTTATCAAAATGGAGAAGGACGAAGTGAAGGCTACGTATCCCCAGGCTGTGGACAGATTCTCTCGCCCCAGTTCGTCAGCAATTGTGGAAATCTGCACTCCGATAAAACCACCAGTAGTTAATCCTAGAACGCCACATAAAACGATGAAGACGTAGAAATAGTTAATATGGACCACAATCATTGAGCCTGTTGAGAACACCAGCAGACAGATTATATATAGCTTTACTCTTCTTTTAAAGAAAGCATTGCCTATAATACCGCTGGATACCCTTCCTATCAGGTCAGTTATTCCTACGATGGACACAGACAGTGCTCCTTCGGATTCTGAGAAGCCTAACTCATCCGCCAAAGGTGGGACAAAATTAAAGCTGTTGTGGTGACCGAAAGTAGCTAAAAATACACCTACATTTACTAAAATGAATAAAGGGTCCTTGAACATTGCCAGATTTATAATAGGGGGCTTTGGTGTGTTTTTATCTCGTTCTTCTAGTTTTGTTGATGGTGTACTAATTCTTTTTGATAATTTATAATTGGTGAATATTTTCGTGGGATATATGTTATTTTCACTGTTTGAGGGTCTTATGGCATATAAAGTAGAAGCATTTGATAACGATGGTAAAGATTTTGAATGAAGGATGCCCTTCTGAGGAACCAATGTTGACTCGTATCCTAAAACACTGGTAATATTGCACGGACTGTTTTCTCCCAGTAATTCATTGTGTTCACCTTCTTTGAAATTCATCTCAATGTCCTTTTTCCATGTTTTTTTCTTATTAATGTCGAGCGGCTTTATGATTATATTTTCCCTTCTCCAGTATGACGTTGGTCGAAAAAGTAGAGCAAAAGCACAAATGTGCAAAAGAATTCCTCCCAAAATAAGTAGACAACCACTAACTGAGTATTCATCCAGAAGAAATCTCATCAGATTTGGAAATATGAAGGATCCCATACCCGACCCTGAGGAAGCAAGACCTAGGGCCAGTGGAAGCTTCTTGTCGAAGTAAAAACTCGGGAACACTAACACTGTTGCAACAATCAATCCAAAACCGACTCCTGTGAGTACACAAAAAAAAGGTATGCGTATTAATTTCTTCTCCACAATCAAAATATTATTACAGATATTTTTTCAGATACATGGTTTCCATGAGGAGATTAAAGGAGTGCTCACCTGTGATTATTCCGTATGTTATAAAGAACCACTCGATATCTCTGACGAAGCTAGTGGCGACCAGTCCTATTGCTGACAGAATACCACCACAGAAAACCACCCATCTGTGACCAAAGCGCTGACAAAGGATGTTCGAGACCGGGGCTGTAAACAGTATAAGACGAACGAAACCATTGTACGGTACCATGGTAAGCAGTCTCTCGCACAACTGAACACTTATTCGAGAAATTCTACTAGATTGTCACCAAGATTTTATTACCTTAATAAATGAATTATAAGAATACATATTCTCTTATCTAAAGAGACATTGACGGCTGTGTCCATACGTACATACCAAAAGCTAGATGAAGCCACCCACAGAGAGACTGTGAGGAAGCCAGGAGACTGGCGGGGGCGTCATATCTATGTGACAGCTCAACCAAAAGTACTCCAAATGACTTCAGTGTCCCAACTACTACTGCCATACTTCCAAATGTCCCTAAACAAATACATATCTTAAGGTTTTTTGTTTCATCAATATGGATTGATTTTTTGTATATGTTTAAAATTATGATTTATTTTATCAGACGAAAACATACTTTCAATAAACCTTTTTTGAGACTGTATGTGTTAAGCTAGAAGGTAAATACAACCTAGAATCACTGTGTTAAAAGGTTGTCATTGCTGAAAGAATACAGAGCGAACGGTGAGTGAACGGTGTGTGAACGCTGAACGCAACTTGGTGAACGGTTTGTGAATGTTGAACGGAGAGCGAACGCAAATCACGGACGCAGCGGACACAAGAGCGAAAAGTGAACAGGGAACACGAGATGAACGATTTATCAGGAATGTTCGGGATATTTTTCTTACATTGAACTTATTCTATTATCAGGTACAATAAGGTAAAAAAAAATATTTTATATTGCCGACATCACCAGACTAGATTGAAATCGTTTTTCTGTCTGAACACTTCCAAAACATTTGAAAATAGATAAATATTCTCGCAATTTCGCGAGAGAGATGATAAATCTGTACTTTACAGTGGATGCACATTTTTTTTTTGCATATTTATGTTTCTTAGAATATTTTCTGCACAGATATAATATGTTGAAATTAAGCTGTTTAGTTACAGTAAATTGATTGCTTTAAATCTTTGCTTCTCAGATTGCACTCTACAAGTTAAAAAAAAAGAAAATTATACTTTGCTATTTTTAGTTTATATTTAAAACCATTACAATTGCTATGCCTATTTAAACAGGAAATGACCGATTTACTGAATGAATTATAAACTTATCGATTTGTGTGAAATAGTAAAAACTTGTCCCAATGGAAACATTTTACATAGGTCTCTGGATGAATATTTTCATAATTATGCTGCTTGTGTTAAATAAATCTACTAAGATCATTATCTCTCTCTATTGTCTTGATTTGTCGTCTATGCCATAATATATTTACATTCTCAACTGTTTTCTCTATGATTGATTGATTGACTGTATGTTGTTTAACGTCCCTCTCGAGAATTTTTCACTCTTGAGACGCCACCACTTGCCGGCGAAGAGCTGCAAATTTTGACCTATACTCGCCACTTAGGGCCATTGAGCAGTGAACGATCTTTTTCGTGCCAGCACCTACTGCGACACGGGACCTCGGTTTATACGGTCTCATCCGAAGGACCGGTCTCCACGTCCCACAGTGGGATTCGAACCCACGACGTAAGGATCAACTTCTTACTTCGCGACTCTAGAGGAGACGCTCTAACCACTGCGCCACGCTGGCGACGTTTTCTCTCTGATAAACACTTTGAAAGTCCACTTTGTTGATTTTTTTGATAATTCCGATGAAATGTAAATTTCTCAATTGAAATGCTACTTAAATGTCATTCAGTATGTAAATGAATGGAATATGAATAGACTCAAGACTCAAGAAGAAAATTAACTTGTTTATAAAATAAGCAGGTGAGTTTTTTTTTCTTAATACAAATAAATAAATGAAAAGTAATGCAATAAATTTTATGAATTTTTATAAGAATATTGGCTTTATTCAAATATATTTACATAACTCTGATGAACGTCTGCTGAAAAGAGTGACGCTGTCGTCTATCTCCGTCAACTGTCTGCAAGAGCAGAGAAATTGACATATACACTCTGGCCTTATTTATTGCAGACATCGTCCCACATACTCAGTCCTTGTAATCTGATTTTGTTAACAACGAGTATTCCAATTCCTCTGCTACTTTGTCATCTAGACAAATAGGTTTTCTCACCAATTCTCAATTGCAGCCTGACATTCAACATGGCGGCGGCGAAGTGAAACACGTGTGTGCGCTCTCGACTAGATCTAGGTTACATCTTTCATCAAAGCAAATCAAATGATTTGATCATAATATAAAAACTTCTTTTGTTATTAATTTAATAAATTTTGATAATTAATAACAGAAATAAACAATCATTTTGTTCCCATATTTTATCGAACTATTTTTACGTAAAATCTGACGTCAGTGGGCTGTGCAATCGAAATTAACATGGAATGTCTCGTGATTTTCAATTCTATTAAAATTGGCAGCATTTTCGATCTATAGTTAGATTTTTATTTCATACATAAACGTAAATATAAAGAATCACTGTCTAGTTTGTTGGGAATGCCAGGGACATCAACGACAGTTGGAAACGTGGGATAATTTATGCATAACGGGCTTCGCTGATCCGTAATTCCTTGAACACCAAAATTTCAACACGATTGAAATATCTGCATTTTGCAGTATTTTGTTTTTATCTTTCAGCATCATTCTAATTAAATATACTCATGGCAACATTTATTTACATATTACAATAAAGTTAATGAATAACATATTGCAGAAGCTACTTCTCATGATTTTTTTTCTAAAAGACGATAAATATTCATTATTTAAATTCAAATCTTGTAGATTCGTGCACACACGTTTTTTCCCTTTTGTAAAGACCAATCCTTTCTCTTAAGAGTTCCGAATGACACTGAAGAAATAAAGACTGAACGATGAGTGAACACTGAACGCAAGGCGGGCGAATGCAAAGTAAACAAACGGTGAGCGAATGCATAAAGCTTTGTAAACCGTGAACGATGAGCGAACGGTGAGCACACGGTGAGCGGACGTAAATGCCAGATGAACGAACAGTGAGCGAACGGAAAATAGTAAAGTAAAACGTTTCAGGGACTGTATATGTATCAAACGTTTCAGTGATTGTATATGTATCAAATGTTTAAGTTACAAATACAAAATGTTCACCTAAAACAGGCATAGATAAATAAAGATTAGATATTAAAAAAGAATAAAAGTAGAAGATCCTTCAACGAAGTAAATAACCTTTCTTGACGTCTACAGAAACAGATTTAAGATTGTCAGTTTTATCAATTCTGCGCTTTGCAACACTTACAAATGTCGTGTCATTGTTTGTGTGTTATATGCAGATACCATTCATTACGCTTATGCATAGTGCATTTGAAAACAGAGCATAACCAAAAAAAAAAAAAAAAAAAAAAAAAAAAAAAAAAAACAACAATGAAGAAATAAAAAAGAGGTAAAACTAACCTAGGACAATGACCCAGGCCCAGCCCTTGTCCACAGGTACAAGATTCCTAGCTGCCATGATGGGCGACTCCTCCAGATTTATTTTTGTCTTATCTGTCCCCGATAACGGTTGTCGTGACTGTACATTTTTTGTTGTGATATGTAAAAATGTTTTGTTTTATATTGCAATATATGGAACACTAATTATGTCATCTTTTTTTTTCAAAAACCATGTTGGATATCTTTAAAGTAAAAAAAAATAATAAAAGAAAAATAACAATGCACACATTTACTGAAATGCACTTATATCCTTTAATTATATTTTGCTGTACCCCACAATTTTGTTGTTGATTTCATGGGATTTTAAAGAATGTTCAATTGACCAAGAACAAATCACTACAGTTTTTTATCAGCTATGGTAGAGTCTATAGTTTCATCTAGTCAAAGGGTTTATCAAAATGTATGCAAAATCACATACGCGTACCATATCAGTTGAAACACCATTCGTTCAAAAATACATAGAATGATATTGTGTTTAATTATCAAGCCTCAATGACTGAGTCTTGAAATCTCTTTTGTAGAGTAATTATAACCATATTTTATACATCTTTTTTTCTATGATGATATTTCAGTGAAACTTGTCTTATACTGATGCTGTGTAATAATAAATCTTGCTTATTACAATCTAAATTTTAAGTCCCTTTCAGTAAATTCAATTGATTAAGATGTCTAATCCGGCCGATTTCTATAGAACCAGTGGTTTACGGATTGGACAGGTTTTACTATAATGATAAGTTGTATGTTTTATTTGTTGTACTTTGGAATCATTATTGTCAGTGGAGGACCAATGTTCGTGAATAATTGAGCTACGCTTACCGGGAATATACATTCCCCGGATGATAACAGTGTCCATGTATCGGTCCATTGAATCTTCTCTATTTAAGAGTCACCCAAAATATTATGTCCTCATGAATCAGTAAAATGTTTTTCATATGTAGAAATAAACATCAGAATCCAGGTAGAATCAGAATGTTATATTTAACTGGCAGGATATTTTTTCTGTAGACGTTTTCGAATATAGACTTCTGTGAGGAGTGCAACCGAGCCCAGAAATCCACAAGCAGACGACAGTCTGAATGAATTCTTCCACGAACAAGAACTATCTTTAATTGCACCTAAGAAAGACATACACAATTTAAGAATTCCATAAATCATTCATCAATACCAGGTTTACTATCAGTTTTGGAATTAAAAATAATCTAGATTTGTGCTACCAAAACGTTTTCCATTTATTTCATCATTATCAAATGAATATGGAGTCTTGACGTGCTCAGTATGAAAACATGCATATATTTGATGAGATCGAGATATTCCCCAAGAAATTTTAAGGATTCTTTACCGGTAATAACACATTGTAACATCTTCATATACCTGAAAGAGCAGGATTTATCAAAACAGAGAAGGATGAAGTGAAGGCTACGTATCCCCAGGCTGTGGACAGTTTCTCTCGTCCAAGCTCATCAGCAATCATGGAAATCTGCACTCCCATAAAACCACCGGTAGCTAATCCTTGAATGCCACAAAAAACGATAAAGACGTAGAAATAAGTAACATGAACCACAATCATTGAGGAAGCGGAGAAAACAAGTAGACAAATTATAAATAGCTTTATTCGTCTTTTAAAGAATGCGTTGCCAATGATACCACCAGAGATTCTGCCTATCAGGTCAGTTATTCCTACGATAGACACAGACAGTGCTCCTTCGGATTCTGAGAAGCCTAACTCATCAGCTAGAGGAGGGACAAAATTAAAGCTGTTGTGGTGACCGTAAAGGGCTGAAAATACACCTGCATTTATCAAAAGGAATAAAGGGTCCTTAAACAGCTCCCAATTTATAAAAGGTGGCTTTAATGTGTTTCTGACATGTTTTTCTACCTTTGATGATGATGTACAAATTTGTCTTGAAATTTTAAACTCGGTGTTCATTTTCGATGAATATATGTTGTTTTCACTGTTTGAGGGTTTTATGACACACAAATGAGTAGCGTATGATAATGATGGTAAAGATTTCGTTCGAAAGAGCCTCCTCTCAGCAAGTATTGCTGATCTAGCTTCTGCTACGCTAGTAATAATACTCGGATTGTTTACCTCCAATAGTTCACTGTGTTCGTCCTCTTCAAAATTTATCTCAATTTCCTTTTCCGACGAATTTTTCTTGTGAGTGTAGTGTGGTTTTATGATTGTCTCATGATTTTCGTTTTTCCAGTATGACGTTGGGCGAAAAAGTAGAGAAAAAGCACAAATGTGCAAAAGAATTCCTCCCAAAATAAGTAGACAACCACTAACAGAATATTCATCCAGGAGAAACCTCGTTAGATTTGGAAATATGAAGGCTCCCATACCCGACCCTGAGGAAGCGAGACCCAGGGCCAGTGGAAGCTTCTTGTCGAAGTAAAAACTCGGGAACACTAACACTGTTGCAACAATAAGCCCAAAGCCGAAACCTGTAAATATACTGAAAGTCTGTGTCATAGATGACAATTTGCCTCTGCTAGAAAAATGATTTATTACAAATATAAATTACCCATATATACATTGTGATTATAAAGAGATGTAAAGAGTGCTCACCTGTGATTATTCCGTATGTTATAAAGAACCACTTGATATCTCTTACAAAGCTAGTGGCGACCAGTCCTATTGCTGACAGAATACCACCACAGAAAACCACCCATCTGTGACCAAAGGGCTGACTAAGGATGTTCGAGACAGGGGCTGTAAACAATATGAGACAGAAAATTCCATTGCATTTTAATGGTAAACAGTTTCTCGTACATTGAGCTTTTTTCGAGGAATACTACGGAATTGCCACTATGAAATATTTTATCTGATTAATAAATTAAGGAAATTGTAAGAATAAAGACTTCCTTTTGTAAAGAGACATTGACGGCTGTGTTCATATATACCTACCAAGAGCTAGATTTAGATGTCCACAGAGAAACTGAAGTCAGCAGACTGACAAGGGCTTCATACCTACATGTACTCAGTCCAAGATGTAGCCAGCCAAAGAGGGGCCAAAAAACAACTAGCAGTAGCATCATACCTACCAAATCTTAGATGTAACGAGCCACAGAGAGATTGTAAAGAGCCACAGACTAACGGTAGCATCATACCTACCCAGTCCTAGATGTAGTCAGCCAAAGTGACAGAAAGGAGCCCAGCTGTATAGCAGGAGCATCGTACCTACCAAGTCCTAGATGTAGCCAACCACAAAGAGACTGTGAGGAGGCCAGGAGACTGGCTGGGGCATCATATCTATGTGACAGCTCAACCAAAAGCACTCCAAATGACTTCAGTGTTCCGATAACTAATGCCATGCTTCCAAATGTTCCTGAACAAAATTGTATAGCGACGGATGTTAATTGCTAGTAATAGGAACTGGGATTGGGATATATTATAATTGGTACAATTATTAATGAAATGTCAATTCTTTTCGTTCATCAGAGGAAAAAAAAAATACTTCAAATAAATTATTTTCAAACTGTGTCAGGTCATCACACAGTACATTAAGAAACATTGTGTGAAACAGGGGCCATTGCTGCCTAGCATTGTTGCTTTGGCATTTCGTACCCGTACTTATACATCTTTTACAAAGCAATGGCATTATAAATGTTATCTTTATAGTATTACAGTAAGATAAGCGATGATGACGAGTTCAAACATCCCATGTTTAGTTTTGTTTATTGCTATCATCCTTCATAGAGACATCACAGTCTATCTGAGAGCAACGTGAATATAACCCTTTTACTTGAATGTTGATTAATACTGTGAAATATTTTTTTTTCTTGGAAATTTGATATTCCTGAATTTCTTGGGTACCCCTTAGCACAGAATTATGTCCTTAATGAATATTGGTTTAAAGGCTATATTTTTCAAAGGCAGAAGTTTACCAACGAAATTTTGTCCCCATGAACCTGTAAAAGGACAAGGTATATGTATTAAAACGGCTAATTTAGCTCCTTATTTGATATAAAATCAAACTACAGACAAAGTTTTGATAATTTGCATTAAAGAACTTTACTAATGCTCCTTTTAATACGAGCACCAATTTTTATTCAAAGCGTACATGGAGGCCACAAGACGGTGATAAACGTCATTTACCGAATTTCCTCAATTCTGATGGATTTCGTCAAATTTGAGATACTTTTCACTTCAGAAACCTTAGAGTTCAAGCTTGCATATCTGAGATTTTCATAGAAAAGATGCATCTAATACTTGTGCATGAAATATATAAGTTTTCTAGATAGGCAAGTTTGTGCTCTGTGCTTTCTGAAACAAAATATGCTTTGAGATTGATGAAAATATGTATAAAAATGAGAAAATTCATAAATCGACATATTTCTCAATCTTTCAGGGACATCTTTGTATCATATCACTTAGCATCAATCCTCATTTTGTAACGGGGATGAAAACGGATTTTTGATGATGAACTAGTTCTTAGAGCAGCAATCCACAAAATTGAGCACAACAAACAAAATTTATTCCACAGTACGATCTTCTAATTAGTCATATTTGTTTGCAGGCCTTCACCTTTACGTACAAAAAAGTACCTCAATACATTTATAAATATATATATCCAATGGTTGACTTGATATGCTTCCCATTATCTAAAACCGGCATTGAAAATAGATATAGACATAAATTATAAAAAGAGATTGATAGTTATTTCTTTCAATTAAATAACAATATTTACTACAACAGAGTGATAAAAATAGTTTTAACAAAAACTGGCCCTGAAGAAACCACAATGAGGCTAAACTAACCTAGCACTACGGCCCAAGCCCAGTCTTTGTCCATAGGTACACGGTTCTTAGTCGCCATGACAGCAGAAGAGCAGGACAGCACGTCCTGATCTAGTTTCGTCCTATTTGCCGCAGATGTTTTGTGTGTCTGTAACATTTCTGGTTGTTTTTGTAAGCCAAAGTATGGAACACTGATTATGACATATTTTGTTTATGACTGTGTCAGATCGGACTTTGGCGAGACCATTGAACTACCTAATTAAAAACGAATACAAGATTTAGCATGGTACCCAAGGCCATACTTTCAATAAGATGGGACTACCAATTAAAAATTGAACATGTTCAACGATTTGTTAAAAATTTAAATTACTTATTTCAAATTGAGATTCAAAAATCCCTGTCTCTTTGAAGAACTTAGCTAGTGTTCTTTAAAAACCAGATTTAAGACTTACAATGAATTGATTGATGCAGAGCTTAGTCTTATGCATCTTCATGATTTTCAGACAATTTTTTTTCTGGCTTCTTCCGAAGAGATTTCCACCATGTGGATCATTGATTATGAAATTTTCAGGTTGTAAAATAAACAAAAAAATACAATACACGAGGTTTTTCCGTAAATTCTCTAGACAGAGTTTATACCTCATGCAGAAATTTACGTATTTTTAATCGCTTAATAAGAACATGTCATACAAACACTTAAGAATAAATAACATCTATTTGTTCCATGCATTCGTGTCTTCGTATGCATGTCTGGTGGAGTGAACTCATGTTCCTGACATTTTTATCACATTCCAGTGCGCCGCCTGTGCCAATGCAGCGCAATTTTTTAACTAGTCAGGTGTCAAACCCGTGCAAATGAACGTTATAAAATTCTTCTTAATAAAGGCCTGTGCAATTAAATTGGAATAAAGGTTGTTAACCATATTTTGACTAGAAATTACTTTCTCGCGAATTTTAAATTTCATATACATGTACAGATTTTAAATAGCAAATACCGCCTCTATACATCAAACATTGAATTATTTCATTTAAATAGGATAAATCTGCGTATAATTAGTTAAGGTTTTATAAATTTATGACACTGAGTTACTATTAAACGACCCTTGTATACGGAATATTGGGACATACCTCGTACATGTACCAAAATATATATTTTGAGTTTATCTTCCTTTTATTTCTATATTTTTTTTAATTGAAAAGTTACACAAAGTGGAGGTAACATGTACGTCAGCTGGTGGAAAAAGCAAAGTGCCAGGAAACTTTGACTAGAAATTCTTTGTCTGAAAATAATGGAATTTTTTCTGCCAGGCGATCAACAAGAAATCCGTACTTCACTAAATACAAGCATTGAGGTATGTAGGAGTCCAACTGATTTATACCATATGTGTACCTGATCAGTTTTTGATCGGCGGGATTGAAGAAGAATAATCTTTCAATCCCAATCTGGTACTGGGTCAGACTGTTCATGTTGATTGTACACTCAATGGAACATCCGGATTTTAACGTCTCATTTTAAATAGAGGGATCCTATCAACTTGCCTATCTTTCAATGAGACAGCCAACTTTCAGTCCAGCATAAGTTTAGACTAGAGTGATTGGTGTGAAGCAATCATTCCAGAAGATCCTCCTATACGTTTCTTATAAATGTATAAAGACGCTTCCTACATAAGGCCTCAGACTAGTCTGCACCTTGCTTCAGAAACTGTGGTGAATTTTGAACAGTTTATGCTCTAATGCGCTTTGACAAATAAATACAGAGATGTATTCCAGTAACAATACCAACTAACTACCGAAATTAAGCTCCTGGCATGAAAATGTTGTGGCCTCCAAGGAATTTCTGTCTGAAAAAAGGAAATTTTCAGCACCTACACCTTAAAAGACCACCTCACTTTAGATAGAACTGAAGGACGTAAATCGCTTCAAATCATGAGCAGGGATTTATATAAATCAGCTCATTTACTGCATTCATCCATCACTGACCTTAAATGTTAGGCTGTGATGAACATTCCACAGCTGGTCGAGGTGATACAAAACTCAAGAAAGTAGGATCTAGATTAAGAATGGAAGTGTTTGAAAAGGCAAGGATGTCAGCAAAGGAGGCATCGGGGGATTTCAAGCATATGGCACCATTTTCCAGCAGCACAGGCTTTTTTGCAAACTTGAATCATCTTCTGAACTAGAAAGGGCTACATCTGTGGAAGATTGTTCTGCGAGAATAGGATACTTTAGTGGACAAAGCAATGTTTAAAAACTGCACTCAAGTTATTCTTGTAGAAGCAAGTGGCTGGAGATTACGTCCACCAAAGCAAATAGACCAATCTTCAAAGAGGACCAAATCTCCTTCCCTTGGATGCTTCTAATATTGCTGAAGCTGGCGCACTCATCTAATTAGAAACAACACAATACTCTTAATTTTGTGCTTGTGTGCCGCCCCTATGCGCGATGAAATGTCTCATACCAGGAATATTAAAAACTAGAGAGTTAAATGCAAGCCCAACAGACAATGAAGGACAAATGTGTGATAGGACAAAAGAATATTTTTCGTATACATATTATATGTACAATATGTAAAAATGGAAATGTCCCCCAACAGGTTAGAGCACAAAGGAGAAAGAAGCCACAATATCAGAAAAATATGAGAAGCCGTCTGAGGTCATTTATGAAGCACTGCTTGTGTTCCAGCAAAAAGGGACAAGGGTGTTGAGGAGAATGTATGCTGTCAGATTATTCAAGCAACCGTGTTAATACGATTATGATTTGGTTGGGCCCGGGACATGAAATTCTGCACCACGTCATAAAACAAATCAGCTGATCAAGACCCAAGACGCTTAATATGTTGATTATCTGGCTACGTGTTCTAATGTACAAATATCTGAAAACTTCGTGTTAACACTGAGGTAATGGGGAACCTAATTACATTGAAAAGGGAGGGGATGTTTTTTATATATATTTAACAGGCTTTGATGTCTGAAACCTTAAAGGAGTAAACACTGTTTAAATGTCAAATACTGATGAAAATATTTTATTGTTAAAAGAGGAGGTTGTTTATTTAACAGGCTCTTATGTACAAATCTCCAAAGACTTAAGGTGTGTTAACACTGTTAAAATCAAATAAAAGTAATTGTTAATCAGAATATATTAAGAAGTGGAGGCTGATTGTCTGATGCTGAGGACATAATGTATTGTCAACAAAGGGGATATTGTGTTCACGTAGAAGAGCTTCTCTTTTTTTTTTTTAATCAGTAATTATTGTAAGGCATTTTATAAGCATTATATCGTGTAAGTAATTCTCATCTGCATCATTTACATGGATTCTTTATGTATTTCTTTTGTGTCTTTTGGAGATCTTTTTCTTTTCTTTACATATACTTGAATTGAGAAAGAAAAACTAAGAAGTAAATCCTCTACATTGTAATCATACCATTATGGTACATTTCATTAAATTAAATTCTACTGGTGGAAAAAGGAAACTGTTGTCAAAGTTGATTTTGAGTAATGTAAATGTAGATGTATTGATTGATTGACTGATTGATTGTATGTTGTTTAACGTCCTATTCAAGATATTTTTTTTCTTATAGAGAGTATCACAGTATGTCGGTAAGGGGTTTCAAATTCAGACCTATACTCGGCATCAGGGTCATTGAGCAGTGAGAGTTCTTTAACGTGTCACCGCCTACCTTGACACGGGGCCTCAGTTTTAAGGTCTAATACGAAAAACCCATAACTTTCACTTCTAATGCCCGGCGCTTGGAACAGTGACTACCTATGTTTAAGTCTTAGGTTTGACACGGCGAGGCAAACGAGAATCGAACCCGGGCCTCCCGATCACGAAGCGAACGCCCTACCACTAGGCGATATAATATCAATTGTAGAAATATTCTATTGCGAGAAAGTTGAGTAAGCCTGGTCTGTGTAATGATAACATATTAAGAACATAATTTGTTAGAACATGTATCTTATAAAAATACTAAGATATGTTTTGCTTTAATATGTATGCATCAGTCAATCATTTGATGTATTGTCACCAATATCTGGATTTGACGATACATTATAGTCGTACTGTTTCATATGTATTCATGCAAATTGTTTATCCAAAAAATATTTGTCCAAAGACAATAATTTTAAGAACTACAAAAAGGCATTATCGTCTTTAATTTTTTTTTTCTTATTTCGTTTTCAATTCAATCGTTATGGAAAAATTGGGTGAAATCATGTCCACTATTACTTTCTGTAAATCCCAAGACCTTTCATTCCAATTTGAGTTTGATTGGGTACTAGCTGAGATCTGTAGCCTGCTGGTCTGAAAAAAAAAAGGATGGACGACCGGTCTGTCATTTTTTTTTCGGAGAGCTACAGTGTTTTATGAATGAATTGATATAAATTCTTGTGGTTCAGAAATAATCTACTTTGGAATGACGACATGACAATTAAATGATATTGACTGTTAAGGACATCTCTCACTATTAGTGTTTACAATTTTTTAAAAAAAAAAATATGAATTTCAACGAAAAGACGAAATAAATTTATTACTTTTCTTTCAACCGATTGAGTTGCTGTGATTCCCACTGATAGGTTGTCCTGAGAATGAAAACGCTTCCAAAACTCTTTTCTGCAATTAATCGCGCTTTGAAAATTTAAAACACTACAATTACATCTCCCACAAAGGAGGCACACTGGTTTTAGCATGGTTGTCTCTACATAGCTCTCCGTCTGTCTGCTAAACATGAAGATGCATAATCCGAAATTCCTGGACTTTTACCCCTACTTTCAACTAATCTCTTTCGGGCGTAGTATTTGTCCAACTTTAACCTTTGAACTGTTTGTATATTATGAATATCTATTCAACTCAAGTATATTGTTTCTCATAAATAAGAGGGTTTTGACAACCTCATTTCAAGGTAATTAGTCATTGGCTGATCCTGCACCCATCCATTCTCCGAAGTAAATATATTTTGCGTACATTCCGCATTCAGTTGCCTATTAATAATCATTTTATTTTTTCGAAACCCCCGAGGTTTCTTTCCGTTAAATGGCTCGCAGAACCGGAAATTATGATAAACGTGATTACTTTCAACTTTTCTATCATCAACTTATTTACATGTATGTGGCAATTAATATACCATTATCACCTGCATATAGGGT